GAGATGAATAAAGAGGAATACAAAAATGAAAAATTTGAAAAAGAAAGGGAAAAACAAAAACAAAGAGATGAAGAGAAAATAAATTTGAATTGGAGTGAGGGAAAGGAGTGACTAAGAATCAAGACACTTTTATTGTGAATCAAATTGAACTCAGAGCCAAAAAGACAACCGTTACATATTAAGAACCAAATTTTTTGTTGGCAACCACAATAAACTCAGTACCCTACACCTAAAGCCTTTAGTGAAAATAAATTCTCCCTCACCTAAAAAGATATAGCATTAGGTAGGATAAAATAAATAAATAAATAAATAGCAAAAGAGAAGAGGAGTAATCACTTGTTTTGTTAGAAATGAAAATCTCTAGACATAGGCATTCAAGATCTTAAGAGCATGAGGGCATCAAAATGGTGAAAATTGAGACAATACATAGAATGTTCTCTTTTAATGGTGATTAATTTGTGAACTAGAAAAAACAATTATTCTTGAAAGTCTAGCCATATTAAAATCCTTCAAAGACCTTAGTGATCCATGTTGATTATGTGTACAATATTTGATTAAAAATGAAAACAAAAGGCCCATTAAAGATTGATGAGAGAGACACTCACTTGGAGAGCTACATCTTCTTAAAACACCAAAAGTTACTCGGAATAAGAACATTTATTATTTTCTCATATCTTATTATGTGGGAGAAGACATATATATCCTATTGTTCTTTGAAAAAGGTTATACCATTATTTGTTGATGACTAATGGACATTGAAAATAAAAGTAAAGATATTTTAAGGATCAAATCACATTTGCAAGTTAGTTCTTATTACAACCAAAGTTTTGTTAAGGTTATGAATACATATATTTTGAGTTTTGAAAAATTGATGCAAATTTGATACTAAATGCACGAATAAATAAGAAGTTAGCAACACACAACACCAAAATCCAAAATGCTAAACGAATTGCATTTTCACTAACAAATCAAGAAATGAGAGAATAGGTACTATTGTCATTATTTTGTTGATCGGTTCCTAATCACACTCAACAAAAATTAGCTAGTGTTGATCAATTATAGGGCAATGAGCAATGGGTAAAAACGCTAAGCAGTTAACGGAAACATTGAGTGCCACAACAATCCATTAAGCAAAATCAAGAAAAAAAGATGTAGCCCAAGAGTCCAATCGTTGAGTAGTGTTTAAAGACACCTAGCAAAGTAAAGTCAAACATGAAGAAAGTTCAATCTACTAAACAAATTTTATGTCATTGAGCAGATGATTGAAAAGTTATTGTTATGTTTTCTTAGGTACATATAGAAAAAAGGAAGAAAAAAAAACATGCAAGCAAATATTGACAGAGAGATACCAAGAACCAAGTTTTGGGAACAAAAACATATCTATTAGATCACCTCTCCTTGTAATTCTAGGATTGTCTTCCTCACCATGAGTAGTTAATCATTTTTTTGTTGGGTTTGGATATAATCTATAAACTCTTTGCAACTTTTATTTTTATATATAAATTTTGTTCTTTAATTATTGATTTAGTTTTATTGCTTTTGAATAATCTAATTTGATGATTTTTGAAGATAAATTAATATTAGAAAATATTTTTTATTTGTGAACTAAGTCAATTGTTAGAAACAAAATTAAGATATTAGTATACAAAATTTTATGTGATTATTAAAATGATATTAATTAAATTATGATTATATGAGATTCTTTAAAACTTCCACTTAGGATGGAATAGTAACTTAAACATGAAAGTTTGAACTTAAGTTATAAAATATTTATTAAAGATCCAATTCTAACAACTTTTCATATTGTAACTTATATTATACAATGTGAAGAAGTACATAGACACTCCTTCCATCATCAATTACATTATAGATGATTTACGACACTTACCCCTAGGCATGGCAACGAGACACGTTTTGCCTCTCAGATCCTCGTTCCTGACTTTTCTAACCGCTTCGTCCCCATTTCTGATCCCCGTTGAGATTAAAAATTAAGTCCTCATTTCCATTCTCATTGAATTTCGATTTTCTTGTCCTCGTCCCGTCCTCGATCTATATTATTTAAAAAATAATAATTATATTTATAATAAATTAATTTTACTATTTTTATATATTTTTTATACATAAATACATATTTATAATTTTACAATTTGTAATTATTATTAATTAAATATATATTTATATTAAAATATATATGTAAAAGAAATATTTAATTATTTTTATATAGATATAAAATATTTATAATATTATTATTATTATACTATATTCAAACATTTGAATACTTATAATATTATTATTATTATTATTGTTATAATATTGTATTCAAACATTTTATTATAAATTAATTCATTTTTAAGTTGTCATTTAAAAATATGAAATATATAATTTATAAGGAAATATTTAATAAGTTAATTCTTATTTAATTAGTTGAAAGTAATAAAAAATTAAATTATTAATTTTTTTAATTCTTTAAAATTCAATTATTTTATTAAGATAAAATTTGATATATGACACATAAGAATAATAAGATCCAAACAAATATGACATAATAAAATCTAATAAATATAAATTATAAATAAAATAATATTAGTTATTACTAAGATTTATGTAAAATATTTAGAAAAATATTAAGAAAAAAAATTAACTTTGTGTTCGTCAAATTGGTTGAAAAGATAAAAAAAATGATTGGAGATAGTACAGTAAATGTGAAAAACTGAAATGTAAGAGAAAACGAATAATGTAATAAATTAATTGATATAAAAGATTAAAAAAGATAAAATAATTAAAAAGTGGGTAAAAAAAATAAAAATAATGAAATATAAAAAAATGACTTTATATGTAATAGAAAAAGAAAAGAAATAATTTTAAAATATTAATATTTTAAAATTTAAATTTTAATATAAAATCGGAATAAGAACGTAGACAAAGACGGATTATAGATTACATTATCTACCCCAATTTTTTAAAACGAAGAAAATCTAAATTTATTCTCGTTCTAAATCAATTCGATTTTTTCTTATTAATCTTGAGGACGGATCGATCCTACACATAAGAGTCTAATTGCCATCCTATTTACCCCATAATTCTTTAAAAAAATTTATAAAGAAGTTTCTCAAATCACAAACTTTCATACATGCATCCCGATAGGCTTTGTGGGCTTCAATTATTTCTGCACTTCTTTGTTTGGAAAAGAAATTATGAATCTTTTATAAGAAGCAGCAATTGCCAAACGAAATTCGTTGATTTGATGCTTTTGAAAACCATTTATTCACATACATTATATTGCACTTACATTCAGAGTTATAAACTCATATTCTGTTTTCAGATTAAATCCAATGCATTACAACATGTAGAGATATATTACGCATAAAATATTTTTAACAATATTATACTTTTCTGATCTTTTTACTGTATTAATTATTTTATTCCATATTTTTTTGTCCTACTTACTTCTATTTCTACTAAAAAATATGTAAGCTTCCTCCTTTTCTCTTTCTGTTCCCCTTTCAACATTATTTACCCTATCTCTATGTAAGTCAAAGTACATATGTAATGGCCATTTATTTCACATTAATTTCCATTTATATGAGTAAATTGTAAGTATAAACGAGATGAATCTTTCACACATTATTATTATTATTATTATTATTATTATTATTATTATTATTATTATTATTATTATTATTATTATTATTATTTCTCGTGTATGTATGAAATATTATGGTCATATGAAGATACTTTGTCTTACCTCATTGGGCACTTAAGTTTTTTTTTTTTTCGAAAAAGTTTTTTAATTAATTTCAGAAAACACTGGAATATTGAATACCAATAAAATCACATGATTGTGTTCTGTTACGACAAATATATATCATGTGGCTCTGTAATAAAAAGACAAAACTTCTTGGAACAAGTACAAAAAACAAAAAACAAAAAAAAGTTGACTTACGTTTGTCTATTAAATTGCATATGACAATTTATCACCACCATCTTTTATTTCTTCTGCGAATGAGGCTCATTGGAACTTAATTTCTATAGCACTTTTCATGTAGTTGTTACTGAATTTGTATTTCCTCAGTTTTCTTTGAATAGTTTCTTTTAGATTTTCAAAGTTATAAAATCAAAGAATAACCTTTGCTAAAAGAACAAGTGTTTAAATTCATGATTAATGTTAACACATGTGTCAATTTGACTCACTTTACATGTCACAACATATTTTTTATTTAAAAAATTTTAAAATTATAAATATATACCTGCCAGATTTCAACATCTTGTATGATTCAAACAAAAAAAATGTGAGAGATAGATGTGATCACGTAAAAATTTACCCAAATATACCAAAATTATAAACATGTGTTTACCAAATTGTATGATAATTTATGGTAAATGACGTGACACTTCCCTGCTATCTTTCTCCTTTGGACTCAGATTCTTCCAAAACTTGTAACAAATGGCAATTCCAGATTCATTAGTTTCTAATAATCAATCAATTCCAACAACAAGAGTACCAGAAAGAAAATCAATCAAACCCAATGATAAGGAAGCATTGTTTTCACTTTCAGTCACCAAAAATATGCAGCTTTACAGCCATATCCCCTGCTTTAACGAACGAGTATCAGCTGCAGAATACCATGTTCACTGGTGTTCCCCTCATATTCCCTAGGTTTCCCATAGAATCCCATCTCTTCCCTCAATGGCTGGTTCAACTAGCATCTTTTAGTGCTTGTCCTTTTCTCAAATCATACACAATTTCTTTCCCCAAGGATTTGAATCTGGTTCCACTTTTGGTGGAGAATCTAGTTACCCCAAAGTGATCTTGTTTTATCATATAGCATATTATTGCATCCTCCAAGTATATAAAGTTCTTATCCCACACTCAAAGTTAAGCTCCGTGCGCAATATATAGCGTGGTTCCAAATTCACAACAAAAGAGAGGAGTTGTTTGATCTTTCTACAACAACACAACCTTCTCACCACTCACCTTGTCACCGTAATTTCCTCCAAAAATGGCTGTGGAAGAGCTAACAAAAACCAAGGCCTTCATACACCATCTTATCACTGGTCGTTGGTTCATGATCTTTGCCTCATGTCTCATCATGGCGGTTTCAGGGGCAACATACATGTTTGGTTTATACTCCAACGAGGTCAAAGCCTCTATGGGGTATGATCAGTCAACGCTCAACTTGATAAGCTTCTTCAAGGACCTTGGTGCCAACCTTGGAATTTTCTCTGGGTTGATCAATGAGGTAAGCCCCCCTTGGGTTATACTAGCCATGGGAGCCACTATGAACTTTGTTGGCTACTTCATGATATGGCTCTCTGTCACTTCACGCATTGCCAAACCCCAAGTGTGGCAAATGTGTCTCTACTTTTACATTGGTGCTAATTCTCAGTCTTTTGCTAATACTGGTGCTTTGGTCAATTGTGTCAAAAGCTTCCCAAGAAGCCGTGGAAGTGTTATTGGTCTTCTCAAGGGTTATGTGGGCCTAAGTGGTGCTATTTTCACTCAGCTATACCATGCATTCTATGGTGACAACTCCAAGGCTCTTATATTCCTCATTGGATGGCTTCCTGCTGCTATTTCCTTCATTTTTCTTCCAACAGTTAGGGCATTGTGTATTACCCCACAACCAAAAGAGATCAAGGTTTTTTACCAACTTCTTTATATTTCACTTGGGGTTGCAGGGTTTCTCATGGTGTTGATAGTTATACAAAACAAGTTGAATTTCACAAGGGTGGAGTACATAGTGGATGGCACGATGGTTCTTCTCTTGCTTATTCTCCCACTTGGTATTGTGTTTAAAGAAGAGTTCAAACTTTGGAAGAACCAAAACCAAACCTTCACTGGTCGTGCAGATGCTGCCACAGTTATTGAATTGCCACAACCAGAAGAAGCACATTCAGCAGCACCATCCCATTTGGAAGGGACAAACACTTCATGTTTAAAGACCGTTTTCAAATCTCCAAAGAGGGGTGAAGACTACACCATCTTCCAAGCTCTTTTCAGCATTGACATGTTGATTCTGTTCACTGCATCAGTTTTTGGGGTGGGAGGAACATTGACAGCTCTTGACAATTTGGGACAGATTGGACACTCATTGGGGTACCCCAAAAAGAGCCTCACAACTTTTGTGTCCCTTGTGAGTATATGGAACTATCTGGGAAGAGCATCTGCTGGCTTTGCCTCAGAATATTTATTAACCAAATACAAATTCCCTCGTCCCTTAATGCTCACTCTAGTCATTCTTCTCTCCTGTGTTGGTCATATTCTAATCGCCTTTGGTATCCCAAACTCACTTTACTTCTCTTCAGTGATTATTGGGTTTTGTTTTGGGGCCATATGGCCCTTAATGTTTGCCATCATATCTGAAATATTTGGCCTCAAATACTACTCTACTTTATACAATTTAGGTGCTGTGGCAAGCCCTGTTGGATCTTACATTCTGAATGTGAGAATCACCGGTTACTTGTATGATAAAGAGGCTTTGAAGCAGTTGGGGATGAAGGGACTCACAAGGCAAAATGGGAAGGACTTAACATGCTTGGGAGTGCAATGCTATAAGATGGCTTTCATCATAATCACTGCATCAACGTTGGTTGGTTGCTTTGCTTCCTTTATTCTAGTCTTAAGAACCAGAAATTTTTACAAAGGTGACATTTATGATAAGTTCAGAGTTGAACTAGACACGGCAGAGAATCTTCCAACGTTTGGCACCACCACAAACAACGCTGAAGAACCAGATAAAATCAACACGAAATAATGTAAGTTCAATATGCAATAATTTTGCATCAACCATGTTGAAAATTTAAGCATCCAAAAGTTGATTTATGTGCTGTGTGTATTAATAACTTATCTCGATCTTAAGTTGCATCTCTTTGTGAAAATAACTCTGGTTTGAAACATTTGTTTGCGGTGGCACAAATCTTATACAAGCACGCTCTTACATGATCTCTCATTCTCACCATTGTATAGAATTCTAGTTTGAGATTTGTATGTTTTTGTTTTGCTTTTATTCAGATTCTCTGGGTTGGGATTATATCAACCACGTGACGTGAGTTTGAGTTGGACAAATTTTCTGCTTTTATGTCAACACCTTGCTTCGTTTGTTTTTGTTTTGTTTTTTACAATAATAGTATATTTTTTCAGTCTTTTTGGGTTCAAATATTTTACACTTGATTATGTCCACCACACTTGTAGCTGCTTTAATGGTAAAGAATAAAAAAAGTGACAGATACCCCATTTGTTTGTTTCGATCGAAATCAAAAAGAAATGTGTGGACGAATTAAGTTCACTCCTTAAATAAAAAAAATTGTTTGTTGGGTTCCTGTCACGGGGCCATAAAAATGTGGTTCCGAAAATGCAAACCAGGGATAACAACAAAAAGAACGCAAATCATTACAAAGAAAATTGGCAAAAGGATATTGATTTATGTTAAGTGCAATGATTCTTCTTTTTAATGAAGTGGGTCAAGTTCAAATTTTGATGATGTGATTTTAAATATGAAATAAACTATATTGACTAAAAAATATTCATATTGTATACAAAATGATTTTAATTTTAAAAAAATTATTTTATAACAGTAGTTATAGGAAAAATTTAGTTGAGAGTAAGAATGAGAATGAGGAATAAAAAGGAAAAATAGTTTTTGTTTGTTTTCATATAGCCTAAGTAATATTTAAAAAACAAACATGACAAGACATTAATGGCTCCTAATATTCCCAATACATTTTACTATGATTGCAGGAGATTTGATATTCACGAAATCCTTTTGCTGTTAAAAACACTACGACAAGTTGTTTAGTAATATTTTATCATAAATTTATAAATTTATATATATATATATATATATATATATATATATATATATAAAAGAAATGAAATATTTTGATTTCATCTTCATTATAGTAATATCATTAAAGTAAATATATATTTTGTCACAGTTTAATTTTTAAGAGAAAAAAAGGTTAATATAAACTATTTTAGATTTCAATTTTTAAATATTGTGAAATTTACGAATATATATTATAAAAATTTACGAAAAAAAAACTTTTACATTAACTAATATCAATTTATATATAAATTAAAAATAACAATTAAAGAAATTACATAAGATGATAATAAATTAACTATAATTTTAGTTTATAGAAAAATTTATTTTAATTATTATTATTATTATTATTATTATTATTATTATTATTATTATTATTATTATTATTATTGTTATAATGATGGAGAAGTAGGTTCAAACACAGTAATAATACTATTATTTAAAATTATTTTGAACTAACTTTTAAAAATCATTTTAGAATTAGCTTTTTAAAATATTTTGAATTGATTTTTTTAACTTTCAAAAACATTTCAGAACAACTTTCCAAAAACATTTTTTATTAACCTTTCTAAAATGATGAATTTATGTTTCCATAATCTTAAATTATACATGAAAATCACCTCCGAATCTACCTTTTTGGATCGATTTTTCTAAAATAAAATATAATTCCAAAATAATAAAAGTGAAACATAAAATATTATATATTTTAGATTTATCAATCAGAGGTTTTCTAGACTTATCAGTACGTGCTACCCAAAACACCGAAGAATGGAGGCGCAGAAACTAGGGATGAAAAAAATAAATACAAAACAAGTCTATTACTTCCTTAAACATGTGATCTAAGGCATATATTTAAAATACCTTTTTTTTTATAATTTTATTGTTTAATCTAACTTTTTATTATATTTATATATAATTTATGCACTTTCATCATTTGTGTATTCGATTTTTTTTATTATCATTTTTATTGAAAGTTTTTTTTTAATAATTAAAGATAAATAATTATTAATATTATGTATAAATTACATGTTGAATCTACTTAAATTATATAAATAGGTGAAAATGAAATTTAAATTTTAAAACACTAAATTTAAAATACATTTTTAGATTGACAACGTATTCTAAAACATTAATTATAGAATACATTTTCTCACCCACTCCCTACAATGTATTTTCATTCAAAAAAGAAATGGTAAGACATTCTTACCTGTTTTTTTTTTTTTTTTGAAAAAATAGGAGACGAAATAATAATAATGTTATAATAGGACTGAAAAATCAGTATTGAACAAAATCAGAAAAAAATATTAATAAAAGATGAAAATAAATATAAAAGTAAAACTGGGTTTAATTTAATTATGAGGATGTAGAGAGTTGAAAGAATATGAGAGGAAATAATAAAAATGTTATACTAAGACTGAAAAATCCGAGAATGTAGAGAGAAATTATAAGAGTAAAGCAATAGCCCAAAACATCACATTTGATAAGGCAAGGCCCAAGCCCAAGCCCAAGCCCAAGCCACGAAGTGAGCAATTCCAATCTGCAATAGCAACCAGTGAATTTTGACTATCGAATATCTGGGATAGAAAATATAGTAATTATCAAAAGAAAATGGGTTTATTATTCTCATTTTGCATATTTTGTACTTAGTGCTCAGCTTTATAGATAACATTCTTTTCTTTAAATCATCCTCATCTCAAATGTCATTTTCCTTAACATATTTTACTAGTTAAAAAACTTATTTTATTTAATAGATAATATTTCGTAACTGTTGTAATTTTTAGACATAATTATAAGTATTATTTGTAATAAATATACAATACTAATTAGTAAATTATTAAATAAAAATATGTAATAGTTTTCTTTATGTTAAATATTTAATATATTATTTAATGAAAAATTACTTATCTTAATTTAAAATATTCTTAGTTACCTGAATTGTCATTTTTAATATTAAACTAAGTATAGTTTTATGATAAAGACTAAAAATATTGTTAGAATATGTCAAAAAAACTAAAAAATAATTTTACATGAACCGAAGACAGACCAAGTTGAAGTTATATTTAAAAACTAATAATATATTCAAATGTTTAATTATGATACTATTTTATTATTCATAATATTGTACTTCAACATATTTTAATCATTGCACTAACTATCATAAAATAAAATTAAACTTGATGCAAAAATATCATATAGATGTGTTCACTTTTATCATTTTATGCTTGTTTAATATTTTAGTAAAATTAACTTAATAATTTATATATATATATATATATATATAATTTTATATTTATTTATAATTATTAAATACATTTTTAACTATTTTTATTAATCATTATAATATATAACAAATTTAATTAGTTTTTTTATTTTTTTCAGTTTTAAATCAACTATGGCAAGGAATATAATGATGGAGAAGTGATTGATTATCATACTAAATCTTAAAGACACACATATATATCTTTTATAAATAACAAATTTTGCTTCCATATCTTTAGAAAACACATTTTGTTTTATATGATAATTTGTGTTTAAAGGTAAAAATATATTTTTAAAGTTAAAATATAAACAAAACCAAAAGTTAAAAATAAAAACAAGATTAAATTGTAAAAAGAAGAGAGTAAACCTTTCAAGTAAAATATAAAACAATATACATTATATCATAAGAATATAATGAAAAATTGACAAACTACTTTAAATATATACAAAAAAGAAATTTATAATAATTCTAATGATAATTCTCTTATAAAAAATAAGAAATTATTTTTTTATTTATTTCTTTAGGTGGAATAAGACTTTTCTTATAAATTACTTACATTTTCTTAAACATCAAACTTTTCAATTATGTGGATGCTTAAATCCAACCAAGCTAATTCACTATTATGTGTTTGGAAAATATATTGTTCATATTGGTTATTCGAACAAGATAAAAAAATGCAATGTAATAGACCCCAAACAAAAATTTTAGTCCATTTTTCTTTTTATTGAGTTCAATCAAAATTGATATGTACAAAGTAGTTAAATTGTCATATTTTGACACAATAACAATGAACCCATTTAAGAGCAACAAGTACCATGACACGAGATGAATATCAAAATTATTATAGGTTTCGATGGATATATCTAGGGGCATAAGGATCATGTAACACATCTCATTCCTCAAGTCAAAGACACTAAGTGACTTTTAGGATTGTTTGAATAACCAATTCAAAGACATGTTCCATCCAAATAAAATTGTTCATTGTCAAAATTGAAACTAAAAAAAAATACATTAAGTTCAAGTTTCTTCTAAGAATTACTTCTTAAACTATATATCTCCCACAAGATGCATAAGGTTTATCATGATATTCATCCAAGAAATTTTTTTTTTATATATAAAAACATACTTTCCTAATCACCTTATAATAATCTTTAACAGAATTAGAGTCATATCCTTGATAGGTAATTGTAATTTGTCCATATTTTAAAACCTCTCACCAAAATGTGAAAATAAAGAGAAACCAAAATCATTTTGGTAAGATGTTTTGAAACACACAAGAAAAAATGATGATTATATATGAAATTATTGTGAAAAAAGTTCATAAAGTGAGTATTTCAAATAATAAGGTTGATGATTTACCTAAATCTTTCAAAAGATTTCAAAGGAAACTAGAAAAAATGAAAAATATAATATCTCTAGATAAATGATTCATAATCCTCAAAAATTAATTTATTGTCTAAATTATCATCTTTTATCATTGTATTCATTCAATTACAAATACTTTGCAATACCAACAAATCAAATTCAATCAATTTAACAAAAAAAAAACCACCTATAACCACACACGTATTCATTCACCATAACCATATATTTATATTCGTTCATGCGACCACAAAATATAACCACTTCCTACAAAATCATAGTCATCTCCTTTTAATCAATTGATTTTTTT